AATAAAAAGTTATAGAAGATGAAAGAAAACGAAAAGTGATCGATTTCCTGTTATAATTTTAGTTAGGTAAGGATCTCCTATCGGGGATGTAAATGTTAAACTTAGATCCTGAAACAAGGAATGCGGATAAGCGTACGATAGATAAGTAGATAGATCATGGATCTAGGTTGGCTGGCAGATCACATACGTGAATACCTTGTATGGTCTTGGCTATACGATAGCATAGTGTGTATTAGTACCGGTAATTCCAGCATGATGCACCGGACGTGGATCACGCTGGAAGATAGATGACATTGTTTCCTGCATCCCCGGGGAGACGCCGGATGACGCACGGAGCTTTGAGAAATAAGGGATGAGGAGAAGAAGAATGGAATGAGAAGAACGGAACGAGAGATGTCCCGATAAATAATCCATCGCTCTGGTTCATCTCCTGACACAATCCTGAAATTAAAGTATAGTATTTTTATTAGAATTTCGTAGGATCGTTATCATGAAGATCGTCCGTAATAATTTTTTTTTTTTTTTTTTTTTTTTTTTTTAAATAACAATCTCTCTACAGTGGAATCATGTTAGCGGCGGCGTCGATAATGACGATGATCAGGAACGGTTGGTTCACTGACGAAAATAAGAAAGAAAAGAAAAAAGAAAAAAGATAAAGGAAAGAAAAAAAACTCCTCGCTTAAATCATTAGCCAGTGAGGAAACAATGCCTAGCATGTTTCCGGACTCGTTTAGTCGACGGAAACGACGCTGAACGAAATTCACCGAGAGAGTACCAACGAACACATTCATCCTCTCGATAATTCTCGGGAATTCCGCCATCTCTTATTTTTCTCTGCGTGATCTCGACACAGTAGGATGAGAAAAAGAGGAAACGCTAAGGAGGGGAACACGATATGGTAGAAGGAGAATGAGGGATAAGGGAGATGAAGGGTGAAGCGAGAAGTACGAGGGTGAACCGAGGGTTGAAAACGCCTAACATAAATCTCCTACCTGCTTCGAGGTCGCGTGAAATAAATCCAAACGTTTTGGTGGCAGCATACCGCGATTTTATTTTCTCCTTCGTGAGCTTTTCTTCTTGAAATATTATATTGCACCGGACGGACGTTTAATGTGGGCGAAAATCGCCGCCATTTTTTCTTTTTTTTTTTTTTTTTTTTTTTTCGTTATATTTTTTCGATATAACCAAAATTGATGACTTACGTAGTAAATATTAAAATTATTTTTAATGGTATCTATTTATTGACTGATCGAAAAGTTATAAAAATTATTTCTTCAAATTGTTAAATATAATTTTATATTAATAAATTTTTCATGAAAATTAATACAAACGTTTAATCAATTTTCGAGAAAAGAGAGAGAACGAGAGATTAACGATCTTTTCTTCTTTAAATATTACATTACATATGAATGAACGTTTAACTTAAATAAGAGTCATTATTTTGGAAAGTGCATAATCGATGATTAACGTAGTAGATAGTAAAACTATTATTAATTGTAATCTACTTATCGACTGATCAAAAGTTTAAAGGAATTATTTTTTGATATCGTTAAATAATATCGTATATCAATAAATCTTCAAAGGAAACGAGTAAATACATTTATCGACGATAAATTTTTCGATAAGCAAAAGAGATAATGAAAGAACGATCTTTTCCATCGTGACCATTTACGAAACGGAAAGGATCGTAACCGAAGGTAAAGCACGAAATGCGGTAGATTCTATACGCAGGCGTGGTATACATTCTGCATCGGATAATTTGCACGCTTCGCGAAGCGGAATACTCGATTTCGAATTTGCTCGTAACAACCTTGAGAGCGATAGAAAATAACGATGAAAAAAATGGTGAAAGTACTGTAAAACCGATCCCCCGATACCCTTTTGTATCTATAACTTGAACGATCAATAAATAGAAATTATTACCAACCAAATTTCCTTCTACCATTCGTTGTAATATTCTATAGTTCCACTACAATGAACAATTCTCGTAATATTATACAAAATTAAATTATATTATTCAGTATGACAGTAGGAGGTACTTTAATGTATGCATTGTTTGTCATAATAGGTATGAATTATTACAAATTCTTTGTTCTCGATAATACGTTATTTTTTAATACTGTTATATATTGTTCGATTTTTTATGATATAGATATATATTCGTAATAATTGTCGAATATTTCATTAATAGCAACCACACATTAACTTAAATCAAAATATAAAATAATACGACGAATGTTCCGTTCGATCAAATCACAAAGAATTTATGGGGTTATATACAACAAAAAAAAAGAAAAAAAAAAAAGAATAGAAAAAAGAAAAAACTATAAAACGAATTAAATATTGTATTGTTAACGTACTTACTTTCTATGTAGGTAGATTGTTATATGCATTGTAGATAATTTTCAATAACATCGAAATGTATAATATTAAAAAGAAACTAATCTGAAAATCTTGTAATACTTGAAGAAAGAGATAACACTTAATCCGCCAATTGCGCAAAATAGTTCCTTAGGACTGTTACGAGAAATAAACATTTAGCGACATCTATAGTTTAAACATATTCGTTCGGTCGGTAAAATCAAATGTTTGTTAAAGATATCATCTTCGCCAGAGGGCCAGAGTTTCCTGTTTCTTTTAGTCCATGATAAATATCCGGTACGTTTCTTCCCTATGTGCTTTTGTAATTATTTATAAAAATATCTGTAATTAATGAAAAAAATAGATAAATAATAATGAGATTTTGTTTGATGTTAAATTAACGTGCATTTCGAAGTTTTATTTAATAACATTTTGCAAAAGATCTTTCGATCTCGATAGATTCGAAATACGTACACGTTACGAGTGTTTGTGTGTGTCTTTGATATATAACATAAAAAAACATGTGAAATAATAATTTGATCTTCTATCATAGAATATTTTTATAGATTTCATTTTGTCTCTTTATTGTTAAAAAAAAAAAATAAGAATACATTAATTTCATACATAGTAGAATCTTCAAAAAATTCAATTTAATGAGTTTCAATCAAAAAAAAAAAAAGTTTATACTTGTGTAAATCTTCAATATATATATAATATATAAATAAAATTTATATCACTCTGTGTATTTTCTTTATCGTGATAAATTTTTCACAGAAATGGCGGACACAGTTGCAACTCCAAAATCTAAAACAAAGGCTCCAAAGAAGCCAATAGAAAAGGCTTCAGAACCTGTACCTTTGAAAAAGAGGCCTTTTAAAAGACATGGACGTCTTTATGCAAAAGCTATTTTTACTGGTTACAAGCGTGGTCTTCGTAATCAACACGAACATACTGCCCTTTTAAAGGTTGAAGGCGCTAGAACAAAAAGTGATTCCGATTTCTATATTGGAAAGAAATGTGTTTATGTATACAAAGTGAGTGTAGCGATATAAGAATATTATAATCTGATCAATAAGGATGTGTAGTTATGAATATTTTTTTTTCCAGGCCAAGAATAGGACACCTGTTCCTGGAAAGACAACAAAAAAGACGAAAGTAAGAGCTATTTGGGGTAAAGTAACACGTCCTCATGGTACTAGTGGTTCAGTTCGTGCTAAGTTTAAGAGAAATTTACCAGCAAAAGCTATGGGTCACCGCATTAGGATTGTAAGTATATATTTCTTCAAAATATAAATTATAGATCCTAAATTTCTTAATAGATATACACATTTTTCTTTCATTCTATTTACAGATGCTGTATCCTAGCCGAATATAAGTTCATACATAAATAAATAAATAAATAAATAAATAAATACCAATTTGGTTTATAACTTTGTAATATTATTTATATTCCCCTTCCTAATAAATAAATCTAACTTATTTGAGAAGTTATAATTAAAATTTAGCGATACACGTATTAGAATTGTACAAATGAAAATATTCTAAAACTTAACCTTCAATTTGTCTTACATTATAACATAGTAAATAATTTCTCATTATAAATGAATTTTAATTCATAGTATCGAAGAGAAATTATTTTCAATTTTTTTTTCTCTATTTCTTTTATTGTTATATAAAAATCTAATAAGAATTAAAAAGAACGAGTAAAATATCGATTAAATGTGTCAATAGGGAAGCCATTTTGTTACTACACATACAAGTTTTGAATAAGTCGCACGAAGTTTCGGAGTATAAAAGTACCTGCTAATTTTCTACAAAACACTGTGCTCTTTTTATTTAACGATCTCCTCGTCATTTCTCGTGTAATAAAGTGATTAAGAGTGAAGAAAAATTTGTATAGATTACCTTTAGTGGAGGAAAAATTAATGTTTTCCTCGTGCGAATGATACGATGTTGTGTTTACTTTTTTGAATAGATCGGTCGAAAGGTTAAAACAAAAAAAGAAAAGATGTTTTGCTGTCTGAGAAATTGTTTTGATGGTATTGGATTCACGACAACCCAAATTCCAAAGAGAGAACCAAATCCGATTAGTTTGGATACTACTCATATGGGTAACCGTCATTTTTTCGCAGAGAAATCTTTCAAGTAAATCTGATCACTTGTAGAAAATGTATCTACGTATTTATTAATCTTTTCTTTGACATCTGTCAAAATAGTATGTATTATATTTAAATTTTAATATTACATTTGAAGTATGTCGTCTATAAGATATTTTATCAATAATAAATATCAAAGCAAATTGAGATTATAAAAAAAAAAATATATATATATAAAAAAAAAAAAAAAAAAGAAAAGAAAATAACAATGAATATTGATTTGGAGTATCATCACAATTATATTAAGTGTGACTCCTGTAAGAAGATTATTACAAAGGAATATGTTTTCTCAATTTCATTATTATCCTGATACAGTTACATGATTTGAATTCTCAGGGCATGAAGTAGTTATAGTCAGAAAAGGTTTAAGAGTTTGCGGACGTGGTGGTGCCTTAACAAATGCACCTCTTGCCCAAAGCAAGAGTTATTTTGAAGTTAAAGTACAACAGAGTGGAATATGGGCCATTGGATTAGCTAACAAATCTACAAATCTTAATACCGCAATCGGAGGAAGTGACAGTGAAAGTTGGGCTCTTAATTCCGATGGCATTTTAAGACATAATCAACAAGAATTGCATAAGATTCAAAATCCTGTTCAAGAAGGAGATATTGTTGTAAGAATTATAAGTTATATTATTTGTAAAGAACGATAGTACAAAAATAATCTGTAATCTTTTAGGGAGTCTCCTATGATCATGTAGAATTAAATTTTTATGTAAATGGAAAATCTTTGGAAGCCCCAATTATTGGTATCAAAGGAACCATTTATCCTGTGCTTTATGGTCTGTTTCAATTCTATCTTTATAAAATTTTACAATGGTTAATATTATTATCTTATATTATAAAATTTATATTGTGAAAAAATTTTCAGTTGACGACGGAGCTATACTAGATTTAATTCTGGATAATTTTACTCATCCTCCACCAATGGGTTTTGAAAAAATAATGGTAGAACAATCATTACTCTAGCGATACACACAATGTGAATAATGTTGAAATGGCTAATTATCAGACAATTTTAAATTGTTCATTCAAAATACATTTTGTCTATTCTAAATGCGAACAAATGTTGCTATAATTATATATAATTCTATTTGCAGTTAAAGATTATATATAATAACATGAATAAGAAATCTTTATTATAATGTAATATATATATATATGTGTGTGTGTGTATATGTGTATATATATATATATATATATATATATATATATATATATAAAATTTGATTAGCAACTGCAAAATAAACATTTTGTCTAATACTTACAGTTTTCTTTTTTTTATCTCGCGAGTATATTAATAGTTTAATAATTGTATTATAAGTAAATCTATACAATTTGTTGAGACCTTCTTAGTTTTATTAAAATTAAAAAGTTTACAACATTCATTTTAGAGACAAAGTCAGCAGTATACTTAAACTTGGTATACATATATTCCATATTTATTACTGTTACTAAACTTCCAATTTGGTTGTATAGTAACAGAGAGTTTAATAAATCATAATAACAATATATATGTATGCCTCATGTATATATGTAATCGTACAATAATAGATTGATCATTAATTATTATTAATGATGTTTTATTTACTGCACACACGAAATTATTTACATATGTATGTGTATCATGTTTACACGCGTCTTTACGTATAATTATTGATTTGTAATGAAGTAACGATATGATGCTATTTACACTGACATTATTAATAAAATACCAACATCTTAGGCCTATTCTTATTTGCTTTAATGGGCTAGTGTCATGGCTTTCTTCATTGATAATAAATTCATAACATATTTAGATACCAAAAATTTAAAACATTAAAGCTAATTTTTGATCGAAACTAATATATTGAGTATATATGCGTATCTTTATATATAATTACATAAATATTAAAAATAATTAACAATCCAGAGTAATGCACAAAAGATTTTAACCTTAATTGGTATTATTAACATAGTATACTAAATCTTGTTACAATTACAAAGAAATGTAAGACATTAGTCGAAAGGCAATTAATAAAATATTACATTTCCCAAAATTGAGGAAACTAATAAAATTTGTCATTAATTTTTTCATTCTAATATTATGTGACACAGTCATTGAATGTTATAATTATCCCAAACACCGATAAGAAATAACTTTGTTTATACACAGTAATATAGAATTAATTATTCGTATTATAATGGGATAAATTCTTCGATGCATTTAGATATTAAATGCAACCTTGCATTAAATTTGTTTTCTGCTTATTGTACATATAATGAGCATTTATTGTGTCACATATAAAAGGTTGTTTTTATGATTGTGCTGCAAGCATTTTAAATTCTTGCAAAACATAGTTAATCTTTGGTCCTTAACATTATTTTTATGCAAATTACATATTTATGTATTTCTATAAATTATTATGTATTTTTATAAGTAGGTCATTCGATTGAAAACAATGTGTTTTTGTAATAACTTAAGTCAGAGCTATATACAGAGTTATATCTAAGCTAAATTAAAATTGATATTAATGAAATCTAAATTTAAAAAAAGACATAAAAAAAGAACCAAGAAATCGTTGTCACTCAATCTTTCTTACTCATGTATGACTCTGTATATGACTCCTCATATTGTGAAAAAATCATATTGTAAAATACACTTCACACAAATTTACAATTCATTATTGTTGATGGCAACTATTATCTCTAGCTATGCTTGATTTAATTCCATTAAACATTAATTTATGTATTTTTTATAGACATATTTATAATGTGTAAAATAGCAATTTTATGGCACTGGTTTTCTAGTATTTTTTTTTTTATTTTATTTTATTTCATTTTCTTTTTTTTTTCCTTTTTTTTTTTTATTATAGGAATATTGTGTTCATTCGAGAGACCAACATTAATATATCCAAGAGAGCCCTTGCAACCTATGCCTTAATGATATATAAAATATTTGCTAAAAAGGTATAAGATATATTATATTTAATTTATGACTGGATGATATGAAATATTTATAATGGTAACCCAGCGAATTGTATTGCACATAATTCTCATTAGGCAGTAATTATTAATAATTAATTAAATTTAACACGATTTCCATTTTATTTTGAGTGACCAATATATCTATAATTTCATTTCATTAAATTATTTAAAAGTTACGCATATTATATATTAAGTAATTCTACCAGACTCCACTCATTGTTTTGGACGCCATTTGATCGTTTTATCAGAAATACTACATGCTAAATCAAATTGCTATTTTATTATAATTATATAATTAAATATTTACTATTCAATATCATGATAATTATCAGATGTATGGCCTCTGTCACTAATTTCTTTCATAAAAATCTTATCACTTAAAAACTATGTAAACTGTTTATAATAAACCTAATACCATTTCCTTTACAATGCAAATAATCCAATTACAAAATATATATATATATATATATATATATATATATATATATATCTTTTGATATATTTACAAAAGTAATTTATAATCTGTATATGATTTATTAAAAAGCTCTATTACCAATTAAAATTATTATTATGCCTAAAATTGATAAAATGTTATACAATTTTTAATATAATTTATTACACTATTCATGAATCTAAAAAGAAATAAAACATAATAATTTGAGATCTTTCTTTTGTTCTCAGGACCAAGGGTTATATGTTTATACGATATAATATCAAATGTTTTTGTTTTCACATAGAGCTGTGTATATTATAATATTGTAATAATTACAAGTAATTGAAAAATAATTATTTTGGAATAATAATAATAATTCGAAATATATACTTAATAACTAGATGTCACAACCCTAAGCCAAAAGCTAAATTGTTTGAAATATAAAAATGTACTTACATAAATTCTGCATTAATTAAAAATACATCATAAGTATTACTCGCTTATATGAGAGTTTTCCTTATAAATGCATTTAAACTGAGAGATAATTTATTTTAAACTTCTATATCTAATCGAGCCTAATTATTTGCAGTCATATCCTAATACCATATTTAAAAAGATGTAACATTTGTATTTTTTTACTTACAAAAAGACATACACTTAATGATATTTTTAGATAAATATATTAGACAAGTATGAAACTGATAAAAATAAAATAGAACTTTATCATTTTATGATTGAAGAAATTGATTTTTCTCAGTATTGAAACTACATTTTAAAGTGCACATATATAAAGATATAAAGATTTTATCACAATGAAATAGAACTTCTATTTCTAATTTTTTTGTACAAATCCCTTGAATCCTGTTGAACGCATAAAATGTTTAAATTCTACATGTGTATCTATTATAAAAATTTGTTTTACCAAATATAGATGCAATCCCATTCATGAATTCATATTCACATATAGAAGAAAAATCAGTACTTTTATAGTTGTTTCTCAGCATTATAAGCAAAGTTATATTAGCCATATACATATATGGAAGAGCTTTCACAGAGTGTTTGCAAATGTTTTAAGAATATATAAAGTTTGTTTGTTTATTTTTATAATTATTTGACTTCTATTCTTATATGAAACCACTGAAAAAGTACCAAGGATAATACCAAGGTTCTTGGAGCTCTCTTTGGTCTTGTCCAAGTAAAATTCTACAACACTTTTGGTAAAATTCACGCAACAAATGCGCCTGATAACTATATGTATATAAAGCATTCTGTTCCAAGGGCATTTCCCTGAGATACTCAGATCCAGTGCAACCGCTGTATTTATTCGTAAATGCGAAGCATCGATAATGTTTATCAATATACTCACATATTACTCGTTATCTGTTGTATCTTCAATAACAGAGTCCCAATTAAATTCTGTGGCACTTTGTCTAGAGGGTAATTCTCCAAGATGTTGAAATCGTTGCACAAAATAAGGATCGCGATCTTTGAGTCTTCTAAATCTTTGAAATGCAAGTTTCTTTGCAAAATCATACAGTTCCAGATCCAATTTATTAAGTCTACGTACTGCGTCTAATTGTTCTGGGTTAAGAGTGGCCATAGTAGCTGCACTAAGAGTGGCATTATGCTGTTCAAAGGCAACAGCAAATCTCATTCCAAATGTTTCTTCAAATGAATACTGGCCCACCTAATATTTTAAATAATTATTTATTAATCTTAACTTTAACATAAAACATTACTTAATATAATATTAACGGATTTGTAATTAAAACTTTCTTTTTTTTATATTATATTAAAAACTATGACATAAAAGCATGAAAAATTATTACTTGGTAATAAAAATAAACTTGCAAGCAAGAGAAAGATTTTAAAGGCAACAAGCACACAGAATACACTTATGGCTCACACATGTTAAAGATAAACAGAGAAACATAAATATTTACTTTAAGTCTACCTAAACTTTAAGCCCATGAATTCAACTATATAATGATAACAGAAATATATACAAGGAAAAATATATATGATTTTTTGATATTAAGAAATATTACATGCATAAATTTAAACATTCATATGAACAATTAAACAATAAAGTAAATTATATTTTATACAATTAATATAGCTAGCAAATGAAAAATTGATAGAAGATTCGAAAAATTCAAATGAAATATAAAACTTATAAATTATTGTTATTTAAATTGTTACATTATTACAGTACCATTATAAATATATCAAAAGAATAATTTTGACAAATCAATATTATGTTAATGCTGTTAATATCATGCTTTTATGCAAATTTTATATCTTAACTTTCTAATTCTTACTTTTTGGTACTCAGTCAACATGAAGAAAGGCATAAATTGTAAATTATGTTTGGCACTAGCCAACATAAGACGATCCTTGTCCAAGCTGCTAAGCGTAGAGTTGTAACAACCAACTATTGACAAATCAGCCAACATTCTTGTTTGACGATTGCTTGCTAAATTGTATGGGCACTCCATAAACTGCACAAACAATAATTTTGATTTATCAAAGTGTTATAACCTTATTTTTTATCATAACATAAAAAGTTAAACAACATACCAGCATTATTAAAATTTTCTATTTGTTTTATTTTAGAGCATGAAATATTCATACGTAATGACTCATTCCGTTATTCAATTATTTAGAAGACCTTGAATTCATGAACATGATAACAGGTCACTTAACAAGTATTGTATTTATGCGAAATAATAAAGTGGAAAAATTACAGATAAAAAGTGTGTTGTAATAGTATATTTCTAAAAAATAGCTTTTTTCAAATATGAAATATTAGTAGTTGGTTTTTTTTTTCTTGTAACAAATAATTGAATATTATGAGCAGAATATATACTTGTAGTTTTTTCATATTATTATGTAATATATTAATATCACCTGTTCTAAACTAACTCCTTGCCAACTAGGTCCATTATAACACTGTGGTATATTAGCTTGAGTTCCTCCACACCAATGACGTGCACCTCTCCATGTTGCACCTCTTTGCACATGTCGAAATTCAGACAAATAACGTGCAACAGGATCCCTTATAATAGTTATGTAAAAATATCTACGTTTAATTCCTTCCCCTTCAATTTTGTTCAATTCAGAATCAACGCAACTAGTTAATTCAGTCCAGTCAGCATGTAACCCACACTTCCAACCAGTAGAATACCGAGAAAAAAGCCAATTTTCATTGCGATTTGGACGGAAACAAAGGCAGCGCTTACGTCTTCTCTGACATGAACATGGTCTCTGGAGATCCAGATCTCTTACTAGATGTTTACCAAACAATGTTCCCCCTTTAACAGAAAGCCATTAGCAATACAAATTAGCTATAAAATATATCAATGTTTTTTTTTTATAGCAACATAAATATTATACTTATATGTATTAGTACGTATATTTAATCCTTCTTTTTTAATAGGAAAAAAAAAAAGAACAAAAAAAAAAAATAAGGGAAGAAAGACTGTAGATAATCAAGGGAAGACATAAGCCTATAGCATACTAAACAACTTCAACATCTTTGTTGAATTATTCTCTTTCTTTCTAAGATAGAACCTGCAGGTTTGAGGATGCTTAATGAATAATGCATAGATTTAACTACACAATGGTCAGAAGGGAAGTTTCCATGGTTTTATTATGTACTATTGCATTGCTTTGGCCTTTAGCCAAAGAGATCTATGGTTAAGCTCTAAAATATACTTTAACGTAGAACCTATGATCGATGCAATAATAAGAGAATCTATTTCAAAGAAATATTGGCTAAGAATAAGATAGATAAAATAAATGAGCACATTTGCAAGTTTACATAAGATAAGTATACACAGTGTTATCAATTCTGACAGAAGGTTTACCTGTCTTTTGAATATGCAGGAAAACCATGACGTCATGAGCATTGATGTCAAATTGAAAAGTATCATTGGCAAAGACATCATCATAGCCAAGGCTTCCTTGTATACTTTGAAGCTTAAAAGCAGGATGTACAGAAAAGAGACCATTCTTGTCAATCTCGATGGAGACAGAAGACAAGGCAGCTGCGGGTGCTCCAAGAGAGAGACCCTCTGAAATTCTCGCGGAGTCCTTGATGTCCTGTCGATTAGTCAGGGCACACACGTGATCCGGACAAAAGTAACCAAGATAAACGATCCCGGTTAAAGCGAGAAAGAGACATATCCCTACGACGCTCCGTAATCTACTTCGTCGTGTCCGTGACTCCATCGTCCCGGACTTATCGAAAAAATCATCCGGTACGAGGATCGTCAGATCGCTAACGCCTTCTTCGCTTAATCGTCTGCCCATTATTTCGACCCATCTTTTTTCACTGCAACACCAGCAGTAGGACGCTCCGCGCGCCGACACGGACCGACCAAAACTACATCCACGCACCGAGTATCGGCCATGACAGATGGCTCCGATCTTCTATCCCCACTACGTACTATCCGCGCGCGCTTTTCTTTTCTTTTCTTTTTCTTTTTTTTCTCTCTCTCTCTCTCTCTCTCTCACTCACTCTCTTTCTTTCTTTTATTTACTTCGCTTCCTTGACCATTCGCCTATGCTCCCTTTCTATACATTCGAGAGGAGTGGTATATTTATACGTGAAATCTTTTTGCTTTTTCTTTTTCATCTTTTTTTCTTTCTCTTTCCACTTCTCCTTCTCCTTCCCCTTCTCCTTCACCCTCTTCGTTACTTATCTCGATACACGATCTGCTGCCTCTGCTCCTTCATCCAACGACGTAACTCATAACGGAACCTTTATTAACGTTTCTTATACCTTTTTCAAAATATTCTTTTTTCTTCGATTCCCTATTTATTCGAATATAAAATTTTAAATAGTACCAATTTTCAATTAGTAAGGAAACATTTATTTTTGCATATCTTTAAATTTAACAATTGTATGTACATATATATATATATATACCATTCCAATTTCTATATTGTATGTATGTCGTATTTGATCGTTCCTCCGTTGTAACTGTCGTAATACCTTTTAAATGGAGCACTTTGTGAACTCCATGAGTATTCAGTTAATATACAATAAAATGTCATGAATTAAATGAATAAGATTATTTCTTCTTAATGTACGACATTGAACTATATTCAATTAACGATTATAATCGAAATGTTTCATTATCAATCATTTAATTAACGATAAAATTAATTAATTATTTCATTATTATTTCGATTAATAATTATTATTCGACATTTAAATGTGTATATATCTATGATATAGATCGTCAATGATTCATGACGTATATACGAAAAGATTAATCAATGATATACATGTCTATGGAATAATTCGTCAATGTTGACGAAACTTTTTCATTATGTAATTATATGTATAACTAAAGTAATTAATATAATCGTTAATTGAATGAAATATTGTCTAACATAAATTATATATATATATATATATATATATATATATATTATTTTATTAATTCCTTTCTTATTATATAAACCAATGGATTCGAGATCAACGTTGATACATTTTATTAACATAAACTATTTGTTCTTCCTTATATTTTCTTCTCTTTCTGTTTTTATCAGCCTCTTTCTTTTTTTACTATATCTCTACGTATGTAGACAATGGTTTTTAGGTCGATAATTAATTAATCGTAAAAAAAACCTACTCCGAAGGATTGTAGCTAACGTCGTAGTTCTATAATTACGTAAGTCCTTTGAAAATGATGCTTTTATAGTCTTATCTTGAAATAGCATACGCATATTCACGTTTACATATCATATACATGGTACATATACATAAACTAATATATGGTGTATATGTGTGTGTGTGTGTGTGTATTATGTATACATGTATATATATGTGTATATATATATATATATATATATATATATATATATATATATATATACACTATATACACGTCTTTCCTTTATCTGATCTCATCTTAGGATCTGGCCTCATTATCTATTAATTATCTATCAAAATCTAATTTGGAATACAGATTAACCTTATTTCTGATTAAAATTAGATCTACGGTGTTGTTATTAATATCGTCTTATCTTGGGAAAACAAAATGTTTCATGGATAACAAAGATGACGATTAATTTTTTTTTCAATAAATAACTTTTAAAATAGAAACATGATATTGATAAAACGTAAAAATATTTTGAAGATTATTTAAATGATTAAGTAAGGTGGCAGAGAGAGAGGAAGAGAGAGAGAGAGAGAGAGAAAGAGAGAGGGAGAGAGACAGAGAGAGAATCCTTTATAGGTTATTATCATTGAATTTAGGTCATCTTTGTTAATTACGATTTAATTTTGTGTGATGCGACTGCTGCTTAACGTAAACTGATGTTACGAGCTTACCATACTATAAATCCCTTCTAAGCTCGTATATACGCACATGCGCACAACTTATATAGTATTTCCACAACATAAAATATTTTCGCGCAATAGAGATTCATTTGTTTTTTTTTTCTTTTCTTTTTCAATCGTTTAATCTTATAATTATAATGAGATTGATAATAAATATTTGATCATTTGATAGAATATATTAGTGTTATTTAAAGTTATTATATCGTGTCAATCATTAAAATTCTTTACGCGGAGGAAGAGTAAATATGTACAGGTGGAAAAATTTTAGAGAGAAAGTTGCTTACAGGTGATATTAAGATCGAATATTGATATCCAATTGTTATGATAAATTAAACGAAAAAAAAGATATAGTACGTACATAGAGACACACATACATAAAGGTTTATCTCTGATAAGCAATTATATTCATGTATATATTCGAAATTTCATTGAATATATTAATATTTCTTCTTTTGTAATTGAATAAAAAAAAGTTTGTCTCAATTAATAATACAAATATAATGTATTATAAATATTATCATATATTACGTAATATATTATGTAATATATTAGATAAGTTTTACGATATGTTCTAACGACAATATAATTTAATTGATTAAAATTGTAATTGTAATGATTTGATAATTAATTCTAATTAATTAATATTACGATGTTGTCAGGAATAATTAAAGCTATATTTTGGCACTAGATGGCGAGTCGATTGGGTTTTACAGGATCGTAATCATAAGAATTTATAAAAGGTGCAAAATATTTTTAATTTTTATAAGTATACAGTTTAATTCGTGATAATATGTTTTAATAATGTAATAATTATAAGAGAATCATTAATTAACGTTTAACATAGCATTAAGAATTTATTATCTACTTATTCTTTTTTTATCGTAATATTCTATTTCTCGGGTATAATTCAAATTCGCCACTCTTTTCCTTACGAATATCGCCATTATTATTACAGACGTTGTTTATCAAGAGATGTGTTCACAATGGTTTACACCATTTATACATTATATGTATACATATACATATTTATATACATAAATATAATTAATATTATTTTATATTAATAATATTCTAAATGTATACTTGTATAGATAATACAATAAGACAGGAACAAATAAATTGCAGGACGTAAGTGTTGATTTATCCTTTGCCTCGTTGCATAATTATTAGTGTGTTATGAATAATTTAAAACAGATGCAAAAAAAAAAATAATACACGTAATGTCAATCGAGTATAAGAAAAACGTTAATGTATAATCTAAATAATTTTCTTACGGAATACGTATTGACTTTGTACCTGCTGTTATCTAACAATTGACAATCATACCTCGTTTTTACAGTACAGTTTTTCAATTTACGCGCGTCAATACGACGAATCGAAAGAAGGGACAGGATTCTAATGCGTTTTTAGTTCATTTTTTTTCCGCACTTGTCGCTCAAGTCAAACGTCTTAATGTCGAGCAACATTGGTTAAATAGTCTTAAATATGTTATATTTGTCATTATAAAATTGTTAGATTATTGTAAAGATTTATAGCTACATTTATTGGTACGTTGTATATTTCAATTGTAATGTTCTTAGATTCATTATTTTGTAGTGATTATTTCGTAGGTTTCTTCTGAATAAGCGGAACACTTATCTATACGAAAGTTAACCTCAACCATATACAGGGTCAGTCATATATTAAATAATTTTTTATATATTTACTAATCCAACTTATTTTATATCTGTTAATCTCTTCTTTAAAATAATTTTAATTTGTTAGGAAATTTTATAAGTTACTATTTCATTTTCAGCATGACGTCTGTCAAGTTATTAGAAGATAGGATACTAGAATTGGAAAAGCAGATTTATGGACTTGGGAAGGTATTGCAGCTAGACGATCCATTACCAGAAACATCTATTACCGATAATCTCTTACATACGAATACATTGATCTCTTCGGCATTATCAGGCAGGGAAAAGATAAATGAGGCTATAAAACGATTACCAGAATTGAATAAACACTTAGATATAACTTTGGAAGAATTAGATATGCCCATAGAAGCTAAATTGCATTTATTGCTACTTCTGGAGCAAGAAATTATTGATAATCATAAATATTTAAACGAAATACAGGAATTGATGCCAGTTTTAGAAACAGATTCTTTAAAAGATGTTCCAGAATTATCTGTAAAACTTAATGAATTATCTTTGAAACAATTGAAAATACATGAGGAAGCCGAAGCGTTTACAAAAAATATGCATTCTGTCTTCTGTATGTATAACGATGTGATAGATAGTATATCTAAAACATTGATTAGCTTGGATAAAGAAATTACACGTGCTGAAACTAGTAAAAAGTAGATAAGTGACATTAGTACACCGTTAATTTATTCTGCATTTCTGCGTTTCTTTGGAGTAGAGGTTACATAGATGATTGTAAAGGTATCGAGTTCAGGATTACTTTTATATATACATATATATATACATATACATATATACATATATATATATATGTATATGTATATATATATATATATATTTATTTATTATTCATGGCTTAAAATATAAAAATACTTACGAATTCATTGATGCCTATGCATAAATGAAAGTGTTTCATTATAATATTATTATTGAACATAAATGAAATTGTACACTATTGAACATATTTCATTATTAGTGTATCAATAACAATGTATTTTATTACAATAATCATATATACATTTACCCTATCTATTGTTTAATCTTATCCATCATTCGTTTCAGGAATTCTACGCAAGAATCACTGAGACAAATCATCGATCGAATATAATCGATCGTTAATATGTTATTATCGTTGGTCTCTTCCGTTAAATGTTTTTATTTCTGATTTATAGTATTCGTAAGAGTCTTCGTACAATCTAGAAAGATTCAACAAATATAATACTTTCATATGCATATTCATACTTATTGGATTGACTTTGGTCCAAACCTAATATAACTTTCATATATTTTCCGAGCAAAACTTGCAGCGTGTGTTCGTATGAGTATAATACTTAAAGAGACCTAATTTGCTAACTTGCAAAAAAAAAATCTATTACCACGTTAACCATATTAAACAATTACTTTATACAGTATTTACATATTATTTTCCTTAATATTAAACAAAGTATGATTTTGTAATCTACACATCTGCACGTTATATATATATATATATATATATATATATATATATATATATGTATGTATATATATATATAAGTTTATATAATCACTGATATTAATTTTTAGTATAGATGTTGCATATCTGTGCTTTCGATTGTAAAAGAAATTATTTCATGGCCATCTGATACTAAGAGCATACTTTGTAGTATAAATAGGAACATGATTCATAAAAGAACATCAAATAAGTTCCAATAAAGAAAAAAAAAAACATTTGTATGCTGAGAATTTTTGAAGAGTAAGTACTTTTGTAAGCGTTTTGTATGCAAATACTCGAAAAAATCAGAGCAATTGTTTCTTCTTCTTTTTTTTTTTTTTTTTTTTTTTTTTTTAAACATTGATCAGTATACGACCAACATTATTTTAACTTCCAATTATTTGTATACTTCCAAAGTATCCGTATCTTATAAGTTGTTTAAATTTATGTTTGCAAAGCAGGAACCAAATGTCGTAACCAATCTAAAGCAGGCTCCAAACTAGAGTAAATTGCAGGATGCCCTCTTGAACATTTACTATGGTGACTGAGTAAACCTTGAATTTTCCATTTTCCTGACTCTCTGGCACACATTAAAGGTGCTCCTTCGTCATTCTACGAGTAAGATATTGACATATATTAATTTCAAAATCATCTTTTACCTATTTCTTTTGATACATTTTATAATTTATACTTTAATTCAAATAATACTCACATAACAAAGCTCTTTATCCATATTGGACAAGCCAATACATATGTTATACTTTGTTATAAATCCTGCATAATGGCTGGTAGTATTACATTCATTAGAATCATACATTGGCATTGGCAAGAATTCATTATATTGTTGTAAATCCAGTTCTCCGTTAACTGGGAATCTCCATCCTACACTAACACAGACATCGTTCGGCTGAAATATAGAGTATCATCAAATGTTAGACAATTTATTAATTTCAAGTACAAGTTATTTCAATTCATAAGAATTTCATATATATATATAATACGTACTTCGATAGGATAAGTTGGTAAGCAAACGGCAGAAACATTTTTCGAGAAAATCAAAGGTTCTTTGAGTTCGATCAAAGCGATATCGTTGTCATAGAAGAATTGATTATATTTCACTTGTGTATATGGAATGATAGTCTTGACAGGATTACTTTTAAGCAAATTTCCATCTGTGAATAATTTCCATCCGTCGTTTTGTCTGTACCTAAAATTTAACAGAAAAATTCAATTAAATATCAATTGACAAATTAACAAGTTTAAATAATTAAAAATGAATAGTTTAGAATAGATGAATAAGTTCTTACTTGTAAACGCAAGAGTAACTGGTCAAAGCATGCATAGGTCCTAATATACTTGCTGTGCAAGTTATACCATGTTCCTCTTCTTTCAAAATTACTACGGATGGCCATTGCATAAGATTATCTGTAGTTTCACCTTCTGGTTTCATAATAGTTTTATCAACATGATGCGTATCGCAGGAAAATTCTTCGCACGTAACTTCAACGACTTTCTCCGAGACACAGAATTCCACGCGTTGAAGATTACTGACTAGTGGGGTGCGATGATTTGGATTAGTTTTCAGTCTTACTATTTGTTGGCTTTTATCCCATGCTTTAAAATCGGTTGTCTGAGATGAAGCATAGCCAAGAGAACGACAGTATGAATCGCTGAATTCTTTGCTCCAACCATCCGAACATACCAAACGATATTCTTCATTGGATTGCCTGTTAAATTACACGTTAAATTAAGGATATTTTTATTTTTTATTTTTAAGAGGTTTTAGAAAACTGACCTTATTTTCAAAAGGGTATCTCGGTGGTTCAGCTGTCTCATCGATTTGTTCTCTTCATTTTCTTCTTGATTAGTTTCAGTATTATTTCTTTGATCAAGCGAATAGTTAGAAATGCAATCCCACTCGTCGGAATGATCAGGACAATGTTCGATACCATCGCAAATTTCTTCCCTCGATACACATCCACCGGTATGACACTTGAATTGATTCAAAGAACAATCGCAAAGTTTTTCGTCTTCTCCATTAGCGCAATCGGGTGATCCATTGCAACGCCATATTTGTGGGATACATCGTTTATCCGTAGGACATAAGTATTCATCGTTACCACAACTTTCAGCACAGTTAAACTCATCCTGATGATTTTCGCAATCTGGTCTTCCATCGCATAGCCATAACAATGGTATGCATCGTCCTAGAAATAAATACGAAACTTGTTTAATCGTGATAATCTTTAATTGATCCATTTTTGTAATACAAAATTATACCTTTTGTAAGTTTTTCCACATCATTTGTTTCATTATGAAGAAATAATGCGAACATATTATTCAATGGTGAGATTTAATTAATAATTATCATAATTAATTAAGACTTACCATTGGTGCAACGGTGTTCATCGAAGATGCATTTCCAATCTTGACAATTCTGTTCGTCGCTACCATCATCGCAATCTACGATTCCATTACATACAAGATGTCTCTTAAGACATTGACGATTGGCACATTGGAAGTTTCCAGGACATCCCTCTTCCTGACAATTAAGCTCATCAGAACCATCAGAACAATCCTTTTGGGAGTCACATTTCGCGGATAAACTGACACAATAAGCACCAGATCTAGATGTGCCATTGGTACATTGAAATTGACCTGTACTACATTTTGAGTAACTCATGGTATTCAATGACAAAAGATTCAGTGTATTGACTGTTAAATTGTTAGTTTCTTGAACGTTATTCTGAAGAATAGTTTCGTTTGAATTATTCAACATATCGTTATGTTCAATAGGAATATTACTTTGAATCGTTGTTTGTTCAACTTCCAAGATTGGGATCAATGGAGTCGTTCGATACAAAGTATAATTTCGAATGAGTATGAAAGGCTCTGTAACTGGATTAACTTCTATAATCTCTTCAGATACGGGTATATAGTTAGGATATTTATTATTTACTTCCATTTCTGTATTATTTTTTATTAGACTAGCTATAGTCGTACTTGGTTCATGAGCTTGTTTGTCTTCCGATTCAGATTGATTTGATCTAGATGTGATCTCAACGATTTTCAATTTTGGTATAGGCACAATTTTACCTTCTGTATCAGCTAAAATGAATTTTGAAATAATTGAATCTGTACTAGTGTTAGGTATGTTTTCCATACTAATATTTTCATTCGGTTCGACGGGAATCTTTGAAATCTCAGTAGGGATCAAAATCATTGATTCGTTGATCTCAGTTGTAACATTTTCTATTCTTTGATCCTCCAGATTGAGTTCCTTCTCTTTTTTGTATTTATATTTATCTGGATTCTTTTTGTCGGTAGATTTTTTCTTGATCTCTTGAATTTTCTCTAATGGTATTACTTTCAATTCTTCCTCAGACAATTCTTTCGAATCTTCGTTGAGAATGACATCTCCCATAGTGGTTGTTGAGAAAAATGATCTAAAGTCGAAATCGTATGGTCTCGTATCATCTAGAATCTCTTCAGTAACTGGTCTTATGTCATCACTGGTAGTAACTGGATCTGATACTTTAGCGCTACTGATTTCCGTTGCCATTGCAGCATAATCTTCGTTGGAAATTGTGAAAGCTGTTTCTGGCTTAGGGTAGTTCGTTGTATTTTCAAGAATCGTCATCAGATTCATCAATTTATTTGGTTCCTCATTTAGAACAGTATGTTGAATATTATCATGTTCAGCGGATATCGTTTCAGTTAAATTTGTATTGTCTGTTTCTATTACAACGTTCGTTGTATTATCAACTTCTGGAGTCATCGTAGAACTGGATGTAGTTACCGAAATGTTATTAATATATTCTATTGAAATCATAGTTGTCGCTGTCCTGTTGTGATTATGCTTCGTATCATTGATCATCTTGATGGTGTCTGGTCTCGCAGAAGAAGTAGTTATTAAGAATTCGTGTTCAGTTGTTTGCAATTCGTCTGGTAAAATTGACACCTGTGGAGTAGTTTTAGTCTCCAATGAATACATTGGAGCTATAGTAGTTGGAATCATAGTGATAGATTCTTTCTCTTTGTCATCATGAATAATATTTGAACTTTCAGTATGATTATCTGACAACGAATTATCATCTGCAATTGTTGTTGCTTCAATTTTGTCTATTAATTCAGTTGTAGAAAGGTCCTGTTGTATCTCCATTGGTAAAACAGGTACCTGCGTTGTAACCTTAGAATCATCAATTTGTTTGTCTAAAGAAGGAGAAGGCATGCTCGATGGCATTTCAGTTTCCGCTGATAATATCCTTTCCGTTGTACTTTGAGATTCTTCAGAGTCTGATATTGATTTAATCTTATCTTGTTGTTCATCGATATTATTTATAATTAATTTTTTAGATTTATCATCAGTAACTTCGGACGAAACGATTTTAACGTTATTGTTATGATCAAAAGTCTTCGATAACGTTTCATCGTTAATATCATTATATTGATCCTCTAGAGCATTTTCTTCCGGTTTTTCTGAGCTATTTACAATATTATTATTATTATTATTATTATTATTATTATTATTATTATTATTAATAGTTAACTCATCTATAGATTTTCCATTTTCTTTAGTGAACATCATCGTAGTGATTTGAGCAATTTCTGTGGTACTTTCTACTTTATCCAATTCGTATTCCATATTTTTCGTTTCCTTATGCTCATCTAATGGTACCACCCTAAGTATTTCTTCATCTTGTTCATCCTGTTCATTTTTAATACCGAAAGTATCATTCGTCGTTGTATCATCGGACAA